GATGGATTTTTGTCTTCGTTGCGGGCTGACATGTCGCTGCGACCTGAATGCCTGGCCCGGGTTGCTCGAAGCATGGTTAGTAACCAGCGTTAAATACCATGGAAACCTATACATTTTGATACCTCTTAACCAACGGTTAGCGCTAACCAGGCTTCGAGCAACCGGCCCCTGATCGCTAAGTGGTCAACGGCGTTATCGGTTAAACATCACACAAAAATACGGATTTTGTTTTTCCTTTTCTGGCCAGGTCATAGATAGAAAAGTGCTTTTATAAAAAGGGCGAAAAAAGGAGAATACCGGTATGCTACATTGCTTTTTTCTAACGTTTGTTTTTATCGTTGCCACCCCGGAGATCACCGGGTTACAATGCAAAGGGGTGGGGGGGGCAAGGAGAAATAGTCTGTGAGGGATAATCGCTAAAATCACTCATGAAATAATAATAATAATAATAATAATAATAATAATAATAATAATAATAATAAAAAACGAATGAGTGAATGAATTTTCAGAACAATAAAATAAACACGACAACCGCTGCACGCGAACCCCCTCAGGTGATAGTTACAGGTAATGCCATCTCGATCGCAGAGACACGAAGAAAAACATCCGGATGTTGGCTCTCCACTGGAGATGGGAAAGGCAATTTCATGATTTAAAGGATAAACAACAAAATTAAAGACCAATAGGGGTAAGGCATATTTTAAGTGTACAATAGATACGTAGGAAGTCTATGGCTTTGGTCCTCTTTTTAAAGTAAGTCTTCAGGTTGTTAGCGGATCGTAGATCAGCACGCGTATGATAGTAGTTTTTGTTTGTCTTACGGATTATAGTCTTCAAACGGTCGTAATTCGACTTTGTAGAAATTTTAGAGATTGTTTTGGTGGGGGTCTTAGTTTTCGAAATTACGAAAACTAAGACCCCTAAATTTACCGTTTAATTTGACCTAAAACTCGGTGGAAAGGATCGAACATGATTTAATTTGACAGATCAGACCTATTTCGGTTACAATTTGACTTTATATTTCGACGGATTCGATTTTAGTGGGTCTTAGTTTTCGTAATCTCGAAAACTAAGACGAGTCTTAGGTCTTAGGTCTTCGTTTTCGAGGGTCTTAGTTTTCGTAACACCTCACAAAGAATGCAATTCGCATGTAATGCAAATTCCTCATATCTGATTCGCTTATCTAGGCTTCGCCAGTCACAGTTGGCGTATTTGCTGATTTACACATTATACCCTCGCTCACCCGTGCTTGAATACTCGTAGATCACTGTTAAGCGACAGACGTGAGCCTTACCAGATTTAACAGACAGTCATGAGCCTTAACTTTCAGGTAAAGACTCTGGAACCGGAGCCTCCCTGCATAGAACTTTGTTGAGTAGCCCGGTCGTAGCAGTGAAAGGACCTATCCTTTCTTGCTCTCGTCTAAACTTCGATGCGCACAATTAGATCGTCTCTTCGTGCACGGCCACTGAACTTACTGTTTCAGATCAACAGAGGGAAGAACTGCTTTGACAGTGACACGTTGCTGCTTATAATTATCTCTGCCTTAGTCTTCAGAAAGCTCAAGTACTGCTCTACTGTCTGGTCGAACGTTGCCATCCTCAAACATCAAGGAAATGCAAGCTATACAAAATTTTGCATGCCCAATTGCAACACACACGAGGAAATTTTAGTAAATCACCCTAGTCCTACGCCAACTTAAATGGCTACCTTTTGTTCAAATGTTTCTATAAACATAGGCGTACTGGCCGGGGGGGCGAGGGGGGCTGCAGCCCCCCCCCCCAAAGTTTGGGCAACTCAGATTTTTTGGGCAGCAAGAGAAAATTTGGGCAGAGCCAGTTTTTAAAGACGTTTCCATGTTTACTTTATTATTATTTTGAAGAGATAAATATTTTCTATTTTAACGTGAAGTCGGCGTAATAATCCAGTTACATTCACACGAGACAGTGGTTGCCTAGCATGTGATGAGTTTCTGGTTTTAAGGGAAGGGTATCATATGCTGTTTTTTTTTTTGTATGTTGGGCACTGTGCTGCACTGCACTAGCTGGAATGGGCTATTTCCAGTCGTGAATTGATTAGAATAAACTTTCGCATAACTTTCTAGTCTTTCTAGAATCACTTCCGCTCGTAGAACAGTGTATGGCAGATAGCTTCAGCAGTGGGTCTGAAAGTGAAAAGTGCAGGGGCTGACTAATTCTCAGTTTGAATTACGAGAAGAATCTTAATTTTTTCTAAAATCTATCGAGCGGTTTAAAAATTATTCATTAACTTGTTAAAGTAGACCAGAATGTTTGCAAAACCGCTAACAAGAGCGCCATGATACATACTAATCAAATCCTTCGTTGTAGCAATTGGCCAGAGCTATCTCCATGACCTTTCACACGTATTTTAAAAAGATTGAAACTACTATCAGGTGAAATTGCGTGTCAATAGCGCTTCGTTTTCTTCAGATAACGGCCAAACATCAAGATTTTCCTTTTTTTATCGTATTTCTAACGATAAAAACTTCATCCCAAAATATCTCGATAACGTACTTACAGATTCCGTTTTAACTTCACGAACATCGAGGCGACTATTGGACGAAAAAGCTCTCGTGAACTATTTTGTTAGAACAGTTCCCAGTGAGTAAAATTGCTGCAAGTATAATAGGTAAGGGCGTCATTTTGTTGCTATTACAACTCCAATGTCATTACAACCCTGATCATAACAACTTATCATCTTTATCTGACACAACTGTGGCGGCAATTTTTCCAAATGTTTGTTTATGGCGACGTAGTTTATGCTTAAACTTGGCAGGTATTGACCCTGAAAAGCTGTATCGAGCCACTTTCATATGCCAGTACGGCCTATGTTGCTGCATCGTATGGCCCTCGTTTCTTTTCGACTGTTTTGTAAAAATTTGGGCAACTTGCAAGAATATTTTGGGCAAATGATTTACCGCCCCCCCTGGCAAAATATTGCCCGTACGCCCATGTCTATAAACATTAGTTACAGAGATGTACGTACAAATGCGTCAATAGACTCAATAGCTCGCCCCTGAGGACTTGTGCAGTAAGTTCCGTAAACTTTCAGAGGTGCATGGAAGTCAAAGACGCAATAATCAAAAGCTTGACAATCCCTACTTGTAATCTGCCGCTGGTCAAAGGTCTTTCGGATTTAGGTTGTCTAAGATTTGGAATGATCTGCCCAATGAACTGAAAGACATTTCTTCCTTCACTCTTAAAAACATTCTCAAACAGCACCTCTTGTGCCAGTTTTTAAGAAGTTGATAAGTATTATCAAGGTTTAGGACTGATTCAATCATTTTTGTAATAGCTTTAAAGTTATTTATATATTATATTTTATTTCAATATTCATTGTAAATGCCATTCGAAAGCCCCCCTACTCCCCCTCTCCCCCCCCCCCCCCCCCTCCCCCTCCCCCCACATTTTTGTTTCTTTTCTTATATTTTTTTTTTTTATAAACATCTTTATACTTGTTTTTGCAATAATGTATATATATACTTATCACACAGAATGCATAACACCACACTGTTCTCCTGCCANAAAGGTCTTTCGGATTTAGGTTGTCTAAGATTTGGAATGATCTGCCCAATGAACTGAAAGACATTTCTTCCTTCACTCTTAAAAACATTCTCAAACAGCACCTCTTGTGCCAGTTTTTAAGAAGTTGATAAGTATTATCAAGGTTTAGGACTGATTCAATCATTTTTGTAATAGCTTTAAAGTTATTTATATATTATATTTTATTTCAATATTCATTGTAAATGCCATTCGAAAGCCCCCCCCTCCCCCCTCCCCCCTCGCCCCCTTTCTGGGATCTGTCATCACATTGTATTTAAGTATTAATGTGTTAAGCTTTAAAACATGCCTTTCAAGATTAAACTTCATTTTCTCTAACCTTGCACTAGTGAAAGAATTCTTCTCATTATAATTATTCTTCTTATCATTATTATTATTATGGATTCACGATGACACAGTTCCCTGTGAAGGAGTCCCATATGAACATCAGGTCTCTTCCAGTGACCTAAGGTGTACATATACCGACTGATGGCTTCAACTTTTTCATCGTTCCCCAGTATTCTTGTGGAGCCGACAAACACGCCTGCTGTCACAGACTTATACACATGACATTTCTAAGGCCTCAAGACCTTTGATCCTTCCCCAGAGCTCCAAGGACAATCGTTATGATCTTCATCACGACACTTCCAAACTCGCCTAATTTCTCGTTTTCATTGTTGGTACTGTTTCCCACTTTCTCTTGTTTCCTACTCTTAACCGGAAGGCAGCAAATGGGCAGGCTACGTCTATTATCAGGCATGATCTTGACTGCTTGCCTAGGACAATGACGTCTGGTTTGTTCTGGACGATTTTGTGGTCAGTCTTGATCTTGAAATCCCTCAAAATCTTGACCGCTTCAGATTCTAAGCACTTGCTGAGGCTTGTGGTCATACCATTTTGTTCCCCTTTCCAAAACCCAAATCTCTCACAGAGCTTTTAGTGACTAATAAGTGCCACTTTGTCATGCCTTTATAGAGGATGCTGTTTTGGGTCAGCATCTTACAGTCTGATACTATGCGACTTACAGTCTCCTCTCACTCCCCAAAAATCTACACGTCGGTGGAATGCTCTGCTTGTCGATGAATGATTTATAATGTTGGTTTTTAAGGCTTTAAAGTAGCAGTCGAAATCCTTTCTTCAACTGATCTATACGTACCCTTAATTCTCCATGTGTGATGCTTTTCCGCTGTTCCCTTGAAAAACCAGCCATAGAGGGGCTTCTCTAGTGACTTCCAATTTCTTTCTGCTCGCACGGCATTTTATTATTATTATTATTATTATTATTATTATTATTATTATTACTATTATTATTATTATTATTATTATTATTATTATTATTATTATTATTATTATTATTATTATTATTATTATTAGACTAGGGAGCCAGACTAATATGAAAGCACCCTTTATTTTTCTCTTAACAGATTAACTTTTATCAATATGGAAGACCGAAATACAGATGGAATTCAAGAGAGTGAATTTATAGAAGTGCCAGTAGATTTGAAGCGTTACGTTATTGGAAAACATGGCTGTGTAATCACTGAAATAAGACAGAATTCGGGAGCGCTAGTTGATCCACTAACTAAAGCAGATGAAGGTTTTTCAGTCAGCGGCGATGAAGAGCAAAGAGCATGCGCTAAGAGGCTCATCTTAGAAAAGGTGGTAAGTTTAAGAAAATGCGCCTCGAGTTTATTTACGTGAAAACATACTCATGGAAACTTTAATTTTTCTTAGTATTAAAAGGCTAGCCAAATAATTTGTATTTGGGAATGCCGAATAGCCATTATCATATTTAAACTTAAAATAAACAACAAACAAATTACAAAGGGATATACAATTAACAATTAGTTCATGCGTCAGCGTGCGTATGTCGAGATATTGAGCTGCGCCCTTCAAACCTCTCGTGCTTTCTCCGCATTCTCAACGTGCTCCGCGTCGGCTCACGTTGAGATCGGAGAACTCACGTCTCCAAACTTCCCAAGTGCTCAATATCTCGACATACGCACAGCTGCAGCTTGAACCCGCGAACTAATTGTTTTATAACATTATCAAAGTGATCAATGCATCAGTTAACTTAAAATTTTATTATTATAGGGCGCGCTCAAAGCAGTACGCGTCAATGTTTACGTGAGTATATATTTTTTCCTCACAGATAAGCTTATGTTTTTATCCTGAAACTCAGAGAAAGTGTACTCTAAAATGATTGTAAAATCCATATTTAGGTGCCGGAAAACTATTAATTCACCGAAAAATTGTTATTGAGAGAAAACAACTTTGTAAAGAATGATCTCACGCCATAGCCCACACAGCTCGCGGAAACGACAACAACAACAACAACAACAACACTCACCTCTTTTCCTTACTATCGGTAAACAAATTCAAACGTTTCCTCTTAAATTTCCTTATAAAACATATGGCAAACGCTTTATCGTGTACTGCCAAGTTATGGATGCACTCAGGAGACTCAGGTTTGCTAAGCTCACAACAACTCGAGGAATTACGAATAATTTATTGACGTCATCAGCGTGCTCAATAGGAATATGAAGCATGCTCGCGCTATTGAATTTGATTAGGGGAATTTCTAGCTATGTTATAAAACATCTTCAAATTTAGGTCTGAGTATAATAGTATAATAAAAGGGCCACCAGCAACCATGATACTTAACGCGCGATTTCAGTATCGGCGCCATTTTCTGTAGTACGGCAAGAGACGCGTTCTTTCTTGAATACCAGAAATTCCTGGTCTTCCGATATACAATTTTTATCGACTTCTATCGTCGTTTTTTCGAATTTGTAAATAGTTTTAAATTTGTAAAAAGTTGCCATTAGTATTTAAATGTTTTGCTTTTTGATATTGAGGTTTACATTATCCTGTGAAGAGCGAAATGAAGCTTGTGAAGCGATGTCGTACTCCGAGGAAAGGAAACCTTCGTGTTGTTTGGTTTTCCTCATCAACTTTAGATCAGAGCTGTGGAACGAGAGGAGATAGGCGCTTGGATTGAGTGGGAAAAATCGAATAGCGAATTTGCTGATGCCCTCCACCATCGGGTGACAAAAAAATCACCATTTTCACTGGGACCATAATGCACCTTGTTTTACCCCTGTCAATGAAGGGATATTAGGGAGCTTAAGCAACGACGACGGCGACGGCCACGAAAACGTCACTTAAAAAGTGAATTTGCGCTGCTTCAAACTTTCCCGTGCTTATTCCATCTCGTTTAATTCGTCAAATGTTGGCAAATGTTTTGGAGTTGAATTCTAAAGCTGACTGTATCAAAGTTTAGGAAAAGAAATGGAAAGTTGTTGTCTCCAGTTGTGTTCCCGTCCTCGACAAAACGTGAAATTAGGCATTTTTACGTTGTAGTCGTGCAACGACAGCAAAGAAATGTACAAAAAAGCGTGATGCATGTGCAAAGTTGTTGTTTTGCCGATCTAAACCTATTGCGTTATTGCCGTTCTCTTCGACGTCGCCGTCGTCGTTGCTTAAGCTCCCTATTAACAAACCCCTTAGTTACTTCCCTGAGGAAAAAAGAGTGAGTTGCGACGAATTTTCTCCAACCTAGCAGATTTGCAAAATGACACATGATTAATGGATCTATGGTGGTCCTTTTGTCAATTAAATAATGCGAAAATTGCATAATTGCAAAGCAAAGTGTTCGAAGAGGCTCATGCCTCACAAAAGTGTACTTTTTTGACAGGAAGAAATCAAGAGAAAGATACACGAGCAAGCTCCGGTTGACGAACTAGTGAAAATTCCAGGAAAGTACAAAGGTTTAGTTATTGGTAAGGAGGGAAACAACCTTAAAAGAATCAGCAGTTGGACAGGTGCAAGGGTGATTCGTAGCAATGGAGAGGTGTACATTGTTAGTGGTACGGAAGAACAAAGGCAAAAAGCAAAAGTTCATATTAAAATAAAAATTGTAAGTACATCACATCAACGTACGTCATAAGGAATTGTATTGGAATCTAGCTATTGAATCTCAGAGTACATTATGTTCCTGTTACGCATCGCTGGATGGAGCGTGAGAGCTACATAAGTGATTGGAAATGGGTATAAGTGATATGTCATTTTTGCAGTAAAGGAATATGGAATACAGGTATTCACTGCAATCAAATGCACACCCAAATCGTTACAATTAATTTGCCCTCGATGCTTTTTGAGGCAAACCTGCATCTATGATACCAGCGAGCAAAGACAAGGACGTTGTTTATTCATTAAACTCAACAGACAAGATCACTCCGACAAAGCTTCATGAAAAAAAAAAAAAAGAATACAATAGTATGAAATCCGATCATCTCACTTTGGACTAGATTCGCGAAAAAATATCAGCGCAACAGGCAGACTAAGCTCTAATGTGTCAACAATCCAAATAATTGTCTCAAAATCAGCAAGGACAAACTATTTCCACTTTATTTTTTTAAAAACGCTTAATGGATAGGATACCCTATTTTTTCAACAGTAGGTAAGACTAACGACTACCCTAATAGATCCTCCCTTTTTCAACATTTATCTATAGGCTGGAGCTAGGTTGAGGGGCTTGGAAAATGACCTCAACAAAACCTATCACTACATCGATAGCAGCTATCTTCCAGCAGACTGCAAACTCAAGCTAGAGAAAGTGGTACAAGGCGATCATACTGAACGTGTGCTGGATCCAGGCACACATGCATACTACCGCCTGAAACCAGTCCAGAATCATGAGCCAAAGGTGTGAATGAATTTGTTCCGTTTAGTTTTGCGATAACAGAGGATATTTATATGTGCGTTTGCTCGTAATACTTTAATATTATATCTGAAATCTTTTATGGCCCGGTTATTAAACGAAGACTGACTTACACCAAGGTTTCCAACAATCAGTGGACGTGAAAGGTAAAGGTCTTTTCGTGGGTTGTTTCAACCAGATAAATGCTTTTCTCCTGTGGTCTAGAAGCCTACTCGACACTGTTCACGGGGAACAGCAGGATTGGCCAATATGAAAATGACTTGGAATGCGGTCCTTTTAAACACAGGATAAACCCCCTTTAAATAACTGATCCCTAAAATGTAATTCTAACTTGAACTTATCATATCGGCCGGTGTGCCCGTTACACAAGTTCATTTTAAGCCTCAGACGTACGAGGAAATTCAGACGGTTACCTTGGAGGAGAACTGGTGGCCGTAACCCCCCTCCCGCACCCTCCTTAAGGTTTTGCTTTGTTATGTTTTACAAGATTAAAACTGCTTGAAGATAACCTGTGCTGAGTTCTATTCTAGATGATATAAACAAACAACAATGAGGTTTATTTGCATGACTATACTAGCACATACAGCATTGGAAAGCTATTTTTTAGGAATCAAAATTACATCACAGGGCAACTACGTTACTTTGATAATAATTTGTTACGGACATCAAAACAAGCTGAAATATATTTTATGAATACTATATTGATAAAGTGATTAGAGGAGTTCATCAGTTCATTGATCAAACCGTTTATAGGTAACTGGGTAATATTTGGAATCAGAGTCTTGACTTTATAGTAAAATTTATTCCAAATCATATAGTATGTAGGACATCGCAAAAAAAAAGTGAACTTCGTCTTCTATTAGATTGGATCCACAAACTCTAACGGTTTCCTTCGTAGTTTGATTGTATCTGCCTATTTCTATCATTAGTTTGTGATTGCTTATTCGTAGTTTGACTAAAGCCCTTCTCCCAGCTGTTCCTCTTGTTAAGTCTAAGTAATTAGAGGTTTTATGATCGGTTTTAAAAGATCTGTAAAATTCAAATTTTGAGAATGTTAAAGGGTGTTATAAATATTACGAGATATGCTGGGGACCTGAAAGTACACAAATTGCTAATTTCAGATAGTATTTGTATCGTTTGAGGTCTAAAATGTGTTATTACTCAAGGTCTTTCTTCCTTTTCTAATATGTTAAGGGTGTTTTGCTCAAAGATGGCTTGACATGAATTATGACGTCATGTCTTGAAACCATGTAAACCGAATGTCTTTAAAATTTGCCAAGTGTTGCTCAAGTGATAAAAGAGCAGCGAAGAGGTTCTGACTCAAACTTGCTTAAAAAAATCGGAGAAAAGCCTTTGGTTAACATTTTTTCAGAAGGAAAAGCCATTTGTTGACTACGTTACCGTTAGAGTTTGTGTAACAAACGTGATCATAATTCTAACTTTGTTTTTCTAGGAGGAGTGCAATCCTAATGATGACCCGATCTATCTACAACAACTTTTAAAAGATACTTTAGAAGCCTTGCATTTGGTGAAAAAAGAAATAAATTCTAAAGAGTATCTCAAAGCCGTCATGTGGTGTCACTTCGGAACGGGCATGATCCGGGGACCCAACCCAGGTGGGTTACAGCATTTTTAGAAACTGTTTGAATGAGGTCTCCGGTCAGGTGAAATCAAATCAATTTCCTTTTTGTGTGGATAATACGCAGTAGTGACAAAAATATTAAACGTTGGTTCTTAGATTTAATCATCTGCTAGAATACCATCCCATGAAACTAATTTATATCACTAGCTGACCGTCGATGTCTGTGGTGTCCCTGTTCTTTTTGGGCATCGCGTTGGGGTATCACCCTCATGTAAGCAGTGGTAATGAGCGTTTGTTGATCATGTTCGCGTTGTACAGGGCTTGTTTTTTTCCTGAATGACCCTTCATGACTCTGGTGTAAAGTTGCCTTACGTGTGATATAAAGGGCCAGCGTTCTAGATGCAGTGTTGGAATACAGTATTAGAAGCAGTATGTTAGTCACGAGGCTCTCCAAAGTTTCATCTCCGGGGAAAAAGATAACATTTTATAATTTTTCTCTTTTTTATCCCATTACCAACATAAAATACCTTGACAGTTGAAGTTACTGAAAGACATTGGAGTATTGATGAGATTAAGGAAAAGCTGGGATCTCCTACAGACGGAGTTTACTGGAATGTTGCATTTAAAGAAGTGGCGAATCTCGACGAAAAAATCTTAGAAGAAAATGTTTGCGACAAAACCCCGGAAGAATACGTGGATTATGCAGCAAGGCATGATTTATCATTCTTAACGCCATCTGGACATCAACTTAGATTTAAGGTAGAATTTTAACACAGGCACACAAAAATGGTGCATTTAATTTATAAGCTTGCATGCGTCACCCAACTATTTTACACTGAAAGTAATGCTAGAGACACTCTGCAGTAGTCAGTAAGCCTCTTAAAGCTTATAACTCGGAGTAAATTGAACATGAATGGAACGTTCATCTAGGAATTGTTTAGCCTTCCTCAAGCAGAAGAAAATTCCAGACAATATTTGTTTCTCAGAACAGATATTTAAAGAAAACAGTCGTTGGGTGCCCCTGTTTAAGCAACTCAAAGTAAAGAGTTAGCACCTTTGAGCTACTCAGAGCCACTCTGAGTAATCAGTGAGCAGCTGTGTGTTCGACAATGCTTGATTTTAACGATTCTAATGTTGACAACTGATGACTTTGACTTTTTATTGGTCCCACGGTTTACACTGGTTATCTAAGGTACCATAGGTGAATTCCCAGAGGAACCGCAATTAATTTGTAACAAACATTCGTTGGAGTAATTCTCACCGATCTGTATAATGTTGCGAGCAATATTGAGCAACCGGTGCAGCATTGAGTGAGACATCAGAGTTGTACCATTGAGCTCAGAGCCACTCTGAGTAGTGTGCGAGCCCCTTTTCAGTCTTGGCCACTTCTCAATCTTCACGTAAATGCACTTGACTTGGCAGTAGCATGTTTTTTAAACTGGACGCGGCGCCGTGTGTTCGCGGGATACTGTGTTGCTATGCTTGCATCACTGGCTATCGCAATGTAAAAGCTACTACTACTACTACTGGTAAAAGCTACTACTCGTCTTCTTGCTAGTAATAAAAATCGTTCTTAAAGGCAGGTGTTGTCTGCGTTGGTTATGCAAGTGCACTCTTGGCGTATTGTTTCTGGCACAGAAAGTAATAATAATATTATTCATGTGTCTGTCTTCGTTCAATGCAAAAGAGTTCTATTTTCATGTGTTTAATTTTTAAAGGCTTTTCTTCTCTACAAAAAATCATACGCCTACCTCATCGTGCACCGAAATGCCCCGCATCTACCCCCCAAACCGGTTTGTCTCGGTTTTTCCAGCCAACTTCCTGGGAGGTAGCCATTTTGAATAATTTGCTAAAACAATTCGTAACTCATTTACCCTGCTGCATATATGATGAAATTCGTCCTAGCATTCCCGGGATACTACTTTTCCTCACTCAGTCATGAACGAAAGTACAAATTGTTTATATGATTTCGGCACCCGAAGGTAATAATGTAATATTATTTTTGCGGCATAGAATGAGTATCCGGTGCGGTGGTACTTGCAAGCTGTTCGTTTTACTCCTTTTGAATTAAGATATTGAACTTTACCGAAATAAATTTGATTAACTGATTTTTGTAAAAACGTTTCTACAAAATTCCTGTTTTATATTTTAGATATGGGTCACAAAGAAAAACGCCGGGAAAAGCTTGGAAGAGATCCCACTACCGTTAAGTGATGTAAAAAACATCTTGGATGAGATACAATTTAAGGACGAAGCTACACGTTCACGATGCCGTGGATGGCTGGTTCTACCCTCTCGGAGATATCTCCAGGCAGATATTCTTTTCCCTGGATGCGAATTTGATTGTAGACTGACCATTCGTGGGCAATCTGGTAAGATATGAGTTACTTGTTGATATCACTAATTTAACGTTAGTAACCATAAATTCGCGTTCGTAGGTAAATGTTCAATTTTTCAGTTGGGTCTTCATATAATAAAAGAACGGGTATTCTATTGTCTTTAGATTCCCAAAGCATATTTGCAAAAAAAAATTAACATCATTCTAATTCTAAAACCGTCACGATTGCTAGATTTATTTACTAGATTGCAATTTTTTAATCGCGTTTTCCGTGTAAATGCGGCTAATTTAGTGTGCGGAACGAGGTTTTAAACTTTCAGACGTAATTTTTTCTTTCTGAACAATTAAATGTTGGCATCTCAGTCAATGAAGCCTGCCTGGCCAAATGATCTTTTTACATGGAGACGTACTCTGCTCAAGTATAGTTTTTTCCCAGGGGGAGGGACTCATGCACTAATGTCGGCAGGTCGGAGTTCTGTCCACTACAGCACCGTCTATTTTACACATGGTCCAGACTGCCTTTGGATCATAGTAACAGCTTCATTTGATCGACCCATAAGTAGTTCTTTATTAATGCTCCCAACCCATAACCCTTACTCTAAAAGCAAAAATCTAGTCAAGAATAGTTGTGGGGAAAGGGGGTAAGGAATGAAGTACTCCAACAATGGATAGCAAGTCACTTCTCTCTATATGAGGGTGTAATTATCCCGATGATAATCCCCTAGGGTAGAGAAAGAGGTTATAATCCTCTCTGGGGGGGTGATAATTTCCTCGGATAACGAGAGGTGATCAACCTCCCCAGGGGCTTAAAATCCCTCAAGGTAGAGAGACGTGATAATCATCTATATGGGTGATAATCCTCTTTAAGGGGTTTGTAATTCCCCAAGGTTGTGAGTGAGAGGTGCTAATCCCCTTTTGTGTACGGTAAGGTACCTCTCTAGATTTCTAATGCCCAGCTGGGGTCTATGGTCGATGGAGGATGACCTGTATGGGAGCACTTAATCCAAGACCCATGTTTATTGAACTGCCAACAACTTAAATAGTTTAGGTTTTAGTTTTTTAGGCCAGTGGCAGACACTTACAAGAACCTCGAGAGAGGGAGGTTGGATCAGATATGTAAATACCAGCTTTAAATATATTTAATACAAATTGTAATTATCTACTGTTCTTGTGACAGCTTGCATCTGTGAAAGAAATTCTCCATATTATTACTGGTAAAAGCGGGTCTATGGTTATCGCATAAACTTTAATTTATCCTGTTGTGTAAATTAGCTTAAACCAGAACTCACACTGACTTTCGTTGTTCTTCAGATTCAGGACTGCACACAGACTATAAGCCTCATGAAGAAGAGATGCAAGCTTTGTCCATATACCTGTCCGAACTAAGTTTAACAAATGACGATGAGGAAATTTGTCTTCCCGAGAGAGATATACCGGAGGGATTTCATCTTATTTACAATCGTTGTTGCAAACGTTCCCAGTATGAAATAACTGCAGGATTTACCATCATTCTTTCGAAAGAGCGCTCATGGCGAAGCGATGCGATAACGGAGGAGACCAGAGAATCGGTATATATAGTTTACATAGTCATAATTTAAACTATCAATCTTGTTCATTGTCTCAAGTAGAAAGAAAAAATGGAAGTAGGACGAAATTTAGAGGATCCTGACAAAAGACCGACGCTATAAAGTTTTACTCGAACAAATAATGATAATAATAATAATCCAAAAAAATAGAACCTTTTTTCTTCCATACTTCCCTTTATTCCGTCTACGCTAGAGGACCTACATGTGTAATCTGAATAATTCCAGCTACCGGTTAACCTACAATCACTCCTGGATATTTTTGTTAGAAATAAGTGTCTGTAAGTTGATACTGAGTCCTTGTTGTCTCGTGGAGAAAGTGAAGAGACCTTAAAATTGTAGGCCAGAGACAGAAGATCGCGAGAAAGAATAATTCAAAGGATAAGAAGAAATAGTACGAAAAACAAATAAGGAGAAAAGCTGAAAATACCATGCAATGTCCAGTTTTATTCTGTTATTGCTTTGTTCTATAGACCTATTTTTTGTTAACTGGATTTAAAAGTGATTGCAAGACAGCAAATAAACTTGGCAATCCCTAAAACCGTTTTGAAAAACATTATTCAACAACGTCAGCACATATTAACTCTTTCTGTTAACTTCCCTGACACTGTAACATCCAAATTCACAGCTCATTGTCGATGACACCTGACCAGCCTCTTGTTGCGTTTGTTTTACTTTCATTTTGGAAACTAATTCTTTTAGCACAAACAAATTGGTTTTTAGAGCCCAGTCTACCAGCCAATTACTGAATGTCGTGTGGGAAGAACAGTGAAAACTATATGAAGCGGGCCCGATATAAAGCGGACGGCCCACGTGTTAAGACAGCATGAACGTTCGCGAGCCCTTAACATTTCTCTCCATATTTTTTTATAAAACCTAACCGGTATTTAGCATAAACCTCTGTTAAGTGGACTAGCGAGGATCCCGCAAGTGTCAGTTTTGCTGCATTGAAATTATTGTTTGTTATATCTGTAGATTCTGCTTTTAGAACAAAACGTATTTCCTCTTTCTCTTGCAGAAGGACTTTTATCTTCACTGCAGAGAATGGGACGAGTTACTAAATAGCGGAGAGTGGGAGCCAGACATAATAATTCAGAAGCTTCCTGAGTTTCTCCGGTTTGTGAAGAAAGTTCAAAGTCTGGTTCTAGCAAGGACAGGTTAGCAAAAGTGCTGTTGTGGTTGGTTTTGCAGGGGCGGATCCAGGATTTTTTTTAGGAGGGGGTGCACTCGTTTCTTGCTCTACTTCAACACCAATAAACCACATAGTTTTTTTTTTTCGCAGAATACCAGTTGTATTAGAAAACCGCAAGTCATTTCGGGGGAAGGGGGTGCGCACCCCCTGCACCCTCCCCCTAGATCCGCCCCTGTTTTGAAAAAAGGGTTTAAAGGAAAACCCTTGCTTGCGTTCTTGTCTTTTCGATCGAATTTTTTTTGAGACGATCTTAAAACGACTATGCAATACTGGGAGCACAATGTGTACGGGAGAGAGTCACCTATGCTAATAAGAAGTGAGTGATGTTTAGAAACCACTAAGCAACGCAATCCTTTTTTCATTTCCTGGAATGAAAGCCGGGGGACGATTTTTTTTTTTGCTCCAAAAGGGGGCAATTATTCGAAGGGGGTGATTATTTCAAATATTGCTCACTGGAAATCGAGCCCTAAATACATGTATGTTGCTTCATTATCCCATAAAATAAAAAATAATAATTACATGAGATATACTGAACATGGGCTGTCTAAGTGTTCCAAATTTGGTTCCTTGATTAATTTTCAGTGTTAGTATCCTCGGCGTCAGAGATTGAATCGACTGAATCATCAATGATTTTTATTGTGTGTGTGTGTGGATAAGACTCCACTTCAGCTTCATCCTCCAGTTTTTTAACGTGAAAGGGAGGGGATAAAAGAAAGAGAAGATGGCGGGAGGAGTAGGGGGCGATAATTCGAAGGAGGCAATTATTTTCAATAACTCCGTCAAAGCCAGGGGGACGGATATTCGAGGGAGGCGATTATTTAAATATTTCCGTCAAAGGGGGACGATAATTCAAGGGAGGCAATTCTATTATTCGAGGAAATACACCCTGTGTCAAATTTGTTTCTTATTAACAACAACTGGCAGCTCAAACAACAAATTATTATTTCAAAGGCTTGAATTTTTTTCTAAGATACATCCCATCCCATATTAATATCCCACATTTGTTTATTTATTTATTACAATTTTATTTATTTTCCTTGTGCTAATTTTAGTTCCTCCTGAGATCCTTGCCAGGGGGATAACAGCCTTGAACGCTTACAACAGGGCTCTTAACGACGGAAAAACGTTGGTCAAGAGGGTGCCAATAATGTTGATAGGACAAGACCGCGCAGGAAAAACCAGTTTAAAGAAGTCATTGAAAGGAATCTGTTTTGACCCAAAGGAAGACAGTACTGTTGGTATAGATATAGATCCTTCTCATTTCAAAGTGTCTACGGACACATGGAGGACAGGAGAAACGGATCAAGACCACAATACCGATACAGCTATCACCTTTGATTATCAAACAGCAAGACACATTATGTGGAGTTTGAAGGACAAGGGTGAAAGCACTAGTGAAGAGGAAAATGCAGGTACCTTTGATTCAGAACTTTCTAAAGTGGTAGTGGTCTCGGATGTGGCATTAGGTGATGGGGGGCATGGAGAGACATTTAGAGATCCACCTCCTGCTACTGGTGGAATTCCACCTGACTCAGCTGGAGCAATTCAAGATGACGTGAGCTTTTCTTATTCAGAGGTTCCTGACGAAGTAGCAGCGGTTACGGAAACGTTACTTAAAGGAGATTGGGAGGAAAGTGGGGAAGTCATTTATTCCACCCTGTGGGATTTTGCTGGACAGTCAGTTTATTACGCGACTCACCCACTATTTCTTACGAAGAGAGCGATCTATTGCTTGGTTTATGATCTCAGCCTGGATCCAGACGACAAAGCAAAGCCCGTGGTGAAACAAGGTGTGTACGAGGAAATTCAAGAAAGCTTCCATCTGAAAACCAATTTTGATTATCTGGATTTTTGGATGACATCTGTGGCTTCTTTAAGCGACTGCCAAGAGGCAGATCTTAGCTCAAGCGCTTTGCCAAAAAAGCTTCCTCCAGTTTTCTTGGTGTGTACACATGCTGATGTACCTTACGATGGTGGAAATCCCCGAAACCTTGCCCGTAGGATCTTTGGTCGATTGAAAAGCAAGCCGTATGGTGTCCATTTGTCTGATGTATTCTTCGTAGATAACACAAGTCTTAGCATCCAAAAAACTGATTGCCGACAGGTTATGCGATTGCGACAAGAAATACATACCCTTGCCAGACAACTGCCCCACATAAACAAGGTCATCCCAATTAAGTGGTTAAAATTCGAGAAGGCACTTCAGGCTTTTAAAGAAAATCCTATGGGAAACAAGTACATTTCTCTGAAATCCGTCAGAGATGTTGCGTTACAAGTTAGCAATATCACTAACCACGAAGAGTTTGAGACATTGATGAACTACTTGCACGACTTGAGAAGTCTTCTTCATTATGACGACAGCGAGCAGTTGAAAAAAGTGGTCATTTTGGATCCTCAGTGGTTAGTTGACGTATTTAAGAAGGTGATAACTGTCAGGCCGTATGATCCTGATGAAAAACATTTTTTAGAGCTATGGTTTAAGCTTGAGAAGGAGGGAATACTTGATGAACAACTTCTGGCTCACGTCTGGAATCCTTTGTTAGAGGACAAAGAAACCTCAGATAGCCTTATTGGAATCATGGAGGGATTTAGCTTACTGTGCCCCTGGGTTTCCAATGCTCCGAGCAACAAGGAATACCTTGTCCCATCAATGTTGATGTCACATCCACCAAAAGAGGTTCATGATCTTATTGAGTCTGCTGCGATTCCCTCTCTGTTTATTAAATTCCCAAAAGGTCATATTCCTGTAGGCTTTTTTCCCCGGCTAGTCGCACAATTCCTTCAGTGGGGAAAAGATGGATTTTGGGCCCAAGAGAAACCTCAGCTGTTTCACGATTTCGTCAGATTCTACGCCTCTGGAGGTGCCTTCTCTGTAATACTTTTATGCCATTCCTCGTTCGTTGAGGTTGTTATTCACGGAGGGAATTCCAGTATTGAGGGTCCTGATGATGTCTATCCCAAACGCAGCACTTTAGCTGACTTATCACCCGACAGTAAGGAGGTAGTCTGTGCTCGTCAGGTGTGTAGGCAACTAAGCTTGATACTTGAGTGTATGCGCAATGAGTTTCCCTGGCTGAGGAATATGACATATGAGATGTGTGTCATTTGTCCCGTCTGTTCTGGGGGAAGGGTAGTTGCCTTCTGCCAAACGCATCGCGAAAAAGAATGCAAACAAGAACAATGCCTTCACTTCTGGAGAATTTCTCAGTTGTGCAATTACACGGAAAACATCACCTGCACGAGGTCGGCTGTTGCTCAAAACACCAAAGTGAAGGTCATGCAGTTTTCACCTTGGTTTCCTTCTCCAAAACAACAGGTAATAACTTCACTACATTCCCTCCGAGCTTTTCTGATTTTCTGGGAACGCCACATCCTGTCTATAATTTATGAATTGATGCCATTACAGCTACCTCATTTTATATGGTCGGCCATTTGTTTCAAAATTATGACGCGATATACCTGCGGTTTTTTCCCACGTATACTTGCAATCATTTCTGCTACACGATATACGTGCGTTTTTTTGTCACGTATACTTGCGTTTTATTCCCAAGTATATGACCATTTTCTTACAAACGCGCATATATATGCGCACAAAAAAGCCCATATATATGCGTTACAAGCAAACATGTGGTATATGTGGCCACAGAAAGTTGTCATATAAGACGCACCGAATTATACCGTCAACAAAAAACCCCTTCATGTACGATGGAGCTGAAAAGTAACTTCAGTTTGAATCAAGCAGGGCCACAATGGCCGCGTTAATTTCGAGCAAGGTTTGGTTCTTATTCACTGCCCTCACCGCCAGTAGTGGTGGTTGTTAGCTCCCCGACAACGGATTTGTTGGAATACGTGGATTGTTTCTTGAGAGACTGTGTACGCTCGGTCAGCGTGCACAGTCTCTCAAGAGACAATCCATGGATATATATTCCAACAAATTCGTTGTCGGGGAGCCAACAACCATCAGTACTGTTGGGGCAATGAATAAGAACCAAACCTTGCTCGAAATTAACACGGCCATTGCAGCCATGATTTACTCAAACCAAAGTTATCTTTCAGCTTCATCGTACATGAAGGGGTTTTTTGTTGACGGTATAATTCGGCGCGTCTTATATGACAACTTTCTGTGACCACATATACTACATGCTTGCTTGTAACGCATATATATGGGCTTTTTTGTGCGCATATATATGCGCGTTTGTAAGAAAATGGTCATATACTTGGGAATAAAACGCAAGTATACGTGACAAAAAAACGCACGTATATCGTGTAGCAGAAATGATTGCAAGTATACGTGGGGAAAAACCGCACGTATATCGTGTCATAATTTTGAAACAAATGGCCGACCATATAAAAGGAGGTAGCTGTAAACTTTTTAGTTTCAATAAAATTGTAACTTAAGGCAATTCACGTACGGAGATGACGTCAGTGACTTCGAGAGGTGAAAGTTATGTTGCTCTCCCAGATGGTTACTTCTCAGCCTAACTTCTCCGTAACAGGAGCCTATATTATCGTTATGGAGTCCTGAGAGTAGTACATGTAAATAGGCTACAAGTGTAAAATTAATACACGTGCTTGTCAAAAGAGGATGATAACGTGGTAACGTCATCCGTAATGAACAGAAAATCTTTTACATGAAAATATTTCTAGCTGAAATTAAAAAACAAACAAAACAATCATGCGCGCCAGTGTTTAGTTGCATTGCGAGTTTTTAAAATTGAGTCGACACCAGGCCATAATATTGCCGTGATATAATTTTGGAGGTCATAGTGAAAATAAAAGCTATAAAGCTGCCGGAACTCTACCTCGGAATGGTAATATGAAATAAATTGCTTAGAAGAAGATTACCAACCAGATGAGAAGGATTTCAGTATAACAACGACGTATCATTGGCACCGTGGTCCATAGTCGATGTTTTCGACGATGTCGAGGATAAAATTTATGCATTTGATTCGCTGTTTACTGAGATACTCGACCGTCATGCTCCAGTTAAAACCTTTAAAGCACGCTGTAAGCCAAACCCATGCGTAACCGACAACATCCGCGGATTGATGAAGACCAGGGATGATTGGCGTAAAAAAGCAAAGAAAACAAATGACCCGCTATCCTGGACTGCCTACAGATATTTCAGACAGGAAGTAAAGAGGGAAATTAGAATTGCTGAACGAGAATTTGTTGCTGAACAAATCCAAAGGAACCCAAATAACACCAATAATATCTGGAAAGCAATCCGCCAGTGTGTCCCCAATAAATCTACATCTCAGCGAACATTTAGTAAGAGCGTCAAATCTGTTGCAGACGAATTTAACCAGTTCTTCGTATCTGTTGGTCAGAGCACTGTTGACAAAATTACGTCCCTGGCTAATGAATGCAACTTAACACTTAATCAGAATTATTTCGTGCCGAGACAATACGCTTCCTCTGACCAGTTCACACTTAGTACCGTTGATTATAAACAAGTAGAGCGTATAATAGCAGCGATGCCTTCAAACAAGGCCCCCGGGATAGATAAAATTCCGATCCGTGTCATCAAAGACTGTCTTAATCCAATTGTTCACCCAATAACGTCTATCGTTAATGCATCCTTTCAAAACTGTGTTTTTCCATCAAAATGGAAAACAGCCGAGGTTACACCCATCCTAAAGGAGGGCGACCATGAACAGGCAAACAACAATAGACCCATCTCACTTCTACCAGTTTTATCGAAGGTTTGCGAAAGGGTAGTACATAATCAACTCACCTCGTATCTGCAATCAAATGACACCCTATCAAAGAGTCAAAGCGGTAACAAGAGATGGCACTCTTGTGAAACATCTGTCATTGAAACAACAGACACAATTCTTAACGCCATCGATAAAAAGAAGTTAACGGCAGTTGTACTATTAGATATGAGCAAAGCCTTTGATAGTGTCAATCATGACACGTTAATTTTAAAATTGCAAGATGTCGGAATTTCCAGTGACACTCTCCAATGGTTTCGTAGTTACCTAAGCAACAGGTCACAAGTAGTACGAATCTATTCAACGCTATCTGAGCCTTTGTCTGTGACCAGTGGCGTTCCTCAAGGAAGCATCTTGGGCCCACTTCTTTTTAGCATATATACGAACGATCTTCCATTGATCCCACAGAAATGCAGCACCCAGAGTTATGTAGATGATACGAAACTCATTACTTCCTTCGAGCTTAAAGCCAACCTGGATGCAATTGCTGATTTGGAAGACGACCTGTTTAAAATAGGGGAATGGTGTTCCAACAATCAATTGTTACTAAACCCTGGCAAAACCAAGTTGATGATATTTGGCAGCAGGCAGATGCGTGCAAAATTCCAATTTCGTTACCTTTCCTTTATGGGTAAGGACATTGTCCCTACAGACACCGCCAAAGACCTTGGTGTGACTTTGGATTCTAATTTAACTTACGATGAACATATAATTAAAACCGCTTCCTCGTGCATGTCCCGCCTTGGCCAGATAAACCGTGTCAAGCATGTCTTCGACAAACGTACACTTTTGATGATTATTAATTCCTTAGTTTTTAGCAGGTTATTTTATTGCTCCAATGTTTGGTCAAATACCTCAAAATGTAATGTCAACAAGTTACAGGCAGTGCAGAACTTCGCATGCCGCATTGTTAGCGGCGCGCGTAAATTTGACCATGTTACACCAATTCGCAAGGAGCTAAATTGGCTTTCAGTTCCCAGTCAGCTTTATTACCGGAACGCTACAATGGCTTTTAAATGTATGACCGGTCAAGCCCCTGAATACCTTACATCAAAATTCATAAAGCGAGCAGAGGTTAGCCGACGTAGCACCAGAAATTCACAGCTTTTACAAATTCCCTTTTTTAGAACAGCTGCCGGTCAGAGAACATTTTTCTATAGAACTGTGAACTTATGGAACTCCCTAGACAATTCCTTTAAACTGTGTAACTCGATTGATGTTTTTAAAACTCGTTTACGTACTAAATTACTTAAAGAATTGTAATTTTATATATATTTTAAAACATTTCTTAATTGTAAATAGGATCATGTATTGTCTTTGAAAAGCCCCTTGGGAAAGTCAATAAAGTATGTATGTATGTATGTATGTATAACAACAGATATAACGTTTCAGTGAAGTTTTCTTTTAAATGAAACATTTTACTTCTAAACCAATAATGCATTGTTCCTAGCTTACTTTTACACCTAAAAGTGTATATTTGTTGTTTATTCGCCACAGCTCGCAATTATTGAACGTGACGAAGACCCATTTACGTCTGATGAAGGTAAGCTTAATGTTCGAACAGTTATGTGCCGAATGATTTGTTTATAATACATATAACTGAGCCACTGAAGATTTAAGTAAAAACCTGTGGGTTTACAGGCTTAAATTTATATGCACCTTCTTACACTTGCTTTAATTATGACATGTTGAAATAAAGAAGCCTTAAAGTCATGTAATATAACGTTTTTATCGTTAAATTTTTAGCTTCGGTTTTATTCTTTCCATCATCGTTTCTCCCCTTCCTTTCTTCTAAGCGGTTTCAATCACGACGCTAGTAAAATTCAACTTTTTGAGTAGCATGATTGGCAACGATGTACTAAAAAAAGAAGATACCGTGTGTTCTCAACAGTTTTTAACGAAAATTCTTTCCTGGAGTACGTTCTGGAAAAATATATCCCAACGCGTTGCAGCATTATTTTCTAACAATTTTTCTAAACAAACTAGTTTCAGGAAATGAAGAAAGAGCGCTTGCAGTTCGTAGCAGTGTATTTGACCATCTTCCGTCCAAGTCATGTGACGCCAAACAAGTTGTTCGCAAACTGCAGGAGACCCTTGAGTGGAAACAATCCTCTCTCGAACAACCAAACCTTGAGGACAAGAAATGGATCCGCTGCTTGGCAAGAGAAGCTAAGCGTTCAGACAGACTTGATGTGGTAAAATACTTAAGAGAAATTACACCTGCTGGCACTACTGGTAAGTGCGTCTTTTGCTCATTACCTTTTACACCTTCCTTATGTAGGGAGTACTCAACAGTTTCCTCTTACCTATTCAAACTACTACTACGTTTTTAACACAGCCTGTTCCTGTAGACCAGCATCTTCTGTATCCTTTTATTTAAGCTGCGATGATACGGCCAACGACTTCGCGCCCTTCACAGCGTTGCTGTGTTACGAGTTAAAGAAAGATGTTGCTAGTTTTACCATCCGCGGGAGCAGCTAATGTCGCGCAACAATTGTTATTCTAAGTTACAATTTGTGCGTTGGAATACATCTTTACGGTTCGTCAGAGCTTGGCAGACAAGCCTAAACTCGGCCGTGACCCGTGAAAGCAACGGTTGTGGCCGCCCTTAAAAGAAAACGCGCAGCTCACGTTTCAGAAAGATTCAAGATTTAAGTCTTCGGTCAATCTCTTTACATGGTACGGGGCAGATTAATTGGATTCCGTTTAGATAAAGAAACAATTTTGTTTCAATAATGATCATTTTTGGTTTCGGAAGTAAACAAGTGACAGTGAAACGCTCAAAGTAAAATTGATCTTATGCGTCTATATTAGACGCATTAGGAGGCATTTTTCGAGTGAGAGCTTACGTACTCTCGTGTACGAATTCATCAAAAGCAGGTTAGATTTCTGCACTAGCTTGCTATATGGCCTCCCTAAAAAACAAATAGCTAAGTTGCAATACGTGCAAAACGCTGCCTCTACTGACTAGCAATGGGCACCACGAAGTTTTCCTCAATCACTCCTGCATGTATTTTGTGAATTACACCGGCTATCGGGGCAGGCGCGCATACATTTTAAGATTCTATTATTAGCTTTTAAAGCCATCCATAGTCTCGCATCTGCATATATTAGTAATCTTCTAGCTATTAAATGCAAGTCCTCCTATAATCTTAGATCCAACTCGGGCATTTTCTTAGAGCCACCCAAGGCTCACGCTAGTAACTGTGGGCAAGCGTGCATTTCAGGCAGCGGCGCCCATTCATAATATAAATAAATAAATAAATAATTATTTAGAGGTAGCACATCCACAAAGTGGTTCTTCGTCTACCTGATTCCTGGTCGAATTAGAATTTGGAAATGTTGATTTTTGAGGAGACGGGAAAACCGGAGTGCCCGGAGAAAAACCTCTCGGAGAAAAGGAGAGAACCAACAACAAACTCAACCCACATATGGAGTCGAATGAGCTGTCTTTAAAACTACGCAATATACAATCTCTAGAAACTTTTAAGAATTCAATTAAGACATTTTTTTAGACAGGTTTTTGAGCAGTGAATTTTTATACCTTTTTCTAATTTGCAATATATCATTATGAGATTTTAATACTAGTATTTTCAAATAAATTTCTTATGAATTATACTACTAGACGTTTGTTTTTTATCAGTTTTACGCTTAACTATTTTAATATTTCATAGATACTTGAATAACTAAATAAATGTAAAGCGCTTCTGATCTGTATGTGTAAATAGCGCTATAGAAATAATAAATTTTTATTTTCATTAAATTAATAAATCATTGGTCCTGATTAAAAGTCGCGCCAGCTGAAACAAAAAATAATATATAATGCATAAATGTGAAAAGAAAAAAGTCTGTTTCAGGTTGACCTCTACAACTATGACAAATTAATTTATTGACGTTAATCAAATTGTTGATTTTTAAAGAAAATCACCAATTAGATTTCAGTAGTATGTCTCTAGTTTAGAAAATAAATTGTCTGCATGTGTTTGATTTTAGGTCCATTATTACCTGAAACTCTTGACGTAAGAAGAATCCCTTTTACCCAAGCAAGGCAACTTACTGTGTCCTTGACCGGTATGATTAATTAATTAACTGAAATATGAAATAAACGTTTTTCACAGTTCTCACGACATTTTGACCGTGAAACAAGGACTTCTCCTTTGGTTACAAGTGGTTACGATCGAGCCAAGAAAGACGAAGGTGGATTAGTAAGGGAAGGGTCCAGAATTGACGGTCGTGATGCGCATGCGGTGTAGACATGGGTTTAAAACTTCAGCTGCATGTGGTCTAGTGTAGAGTAATGGTTCAAATCAGAGTCCCCGCCGCACAGCACAATTCATACTCTCGGAATATCTAAGTGTAACATTTTTAATCAACGAACACGCTAAGTTGTTGCTAAAACTAATCAATGCCCATTCATGTTGTTTTTGTTTTTGTTGTAGTTGCATCCGAAGATAAGTGGAAGTTTGTTGCTGAGAAACTGGGCTTGAACCAAGACGAAATACGTTTCCTTGATTTGCGACACACAAATCCAGCTGAATCCCTTTTAGGGTTCGTAACAAATCACCGTGATATGAATGTGGGAGAACTTTACAAAATCTTATGCGAATGCGGGATACCCGTTATTGCAGATAACCTTTAAACTGTTTTATTTTAGAAAGGGGAATGACAGCCACAGCTTTTGTTTTGCATGTGTATGGGCCTACTTGCAGGCAGGATTTGAAGTACAGGTAACATCTATATGCTATCCATACGACAATGCCATTTGTCAGTTGTCAGTTAATTGACCGGTAGAGGGATCGGTGTAGAGGTGTGCCGCCGAAGCCTTCAAACCCTGACCCTGTTTAAGACAAAAATCGTTCATTTCTCTACCTGCATGTTTAAGACGAGATCTTATTTATTTCGTTTCGTATACAGTATTAAGTCATTTTTAAAACTAACATCATTCACCTCACCCCGTAAAACCAGCTCGATTATGGAAACCGTGAGCTCAACGATTATATAATGGAGGGAGCATGCGGCGCAATTTGTCCACTACCTGACCTATAGCTGAAGATGATCCGTTGGGCCATATATTAGCCAAAAAAAAGGGTACATTTGGAGATATTAATTTTATTTAATATACTTTTTCAATTCTATGGAATGACGTTTTTTATCTTTAAACTCCTGAAAACAAATTTCCTCACCTGGAGTAATTTATCGTAGAGGCTTAACCCAATTTATGTTATGAGGTTACGCGACATTTTAGTCATACTAAATTAATCAAGGAACGTGAAGGGTCGGTCTGTGATCAACGTGATCAGCCTATTTTCTGTCACCGTAAGAGACGGACCATTAGNAGTTTTTGGGGGGTGGGAGGGGAATCTTGTGGCCGCGGGAATTTTTTTTCGTTTTAAAATTCCTTTTATTAATTTTTTTTTGGCCATAGGATTTTTTTTTTTTTGGATTAATTGGGGTTCAAAAATTTTTTTTCATTTAATTTTCCTTTGGGGGAATATTTTTTTTTTTTTCGCCCCCCCCCCCCCCCACATACGTTTTTTAATGGTCCGTCCCTAAGAGGGAAGAGAGTGTAAATTTTAAGATTTGATTGTTAACTTATGAGATAATGCATGGCTAGCACCTCCTTATTTACTAGACATCCTCAAAGTCGACGACCCAGTAAAGGTGGATTCTTGATCTATAAGTCAAGAAACTTATTGACCACCCCGAAATATATGGACTGGAGATCTGTGGACTACGAGCCTTTTCGGTGTGTTGCCGCCCTTATACTTTATTTCCTGGGTCTTTAAATCGAGCTAAATCGATTTTGGTAAAGCGCCATTGGACAATTTGATATTGATATTATTATTATATTATGTTAGATAATCGAATTTCTGAAGTATTTGTTACAGTTAGCCTTGTTCTACACAAGTAGGGGTCTTTTACTAATCAGAGGGCTTAATTTAATTCTTGGATAAAGGATGAAGTAAATTTAATTATGTCTTTTATATGCAGTCGAACCCCCATTTGAGACCACCTCTCGTAAGCGACCACCTCCTCATAGCTCCGACCACCAATCCACCAAAATTTTCCCGCTTTTGACGGTTTTATAATTTTCCATTATTTTTAACGTCTTGTAAGCGACCACTTAAGGTATGATCTGACCTCTATGTATAAGAAGAACTTTAGTGACAACATGCAATTAATTCTCTTCCTTTCTTCCAAACACTAGTTACATGCACACCTTTTCTGAGACCCATCGTGGCTCGATTCTCGTAAGCGACCACTTAATCTTGGCATTTTGGGTGGTTGCTTACTGGGTATTCGATTGTATTTAGTAACTTAAGACAAGTCTCTGATTGTAGCATTTTTATCCTCTTGCAAGGCTACGGATATTTGCACGCTTTAAGTAATTAAATTTAATCACCTTTCACTTTAAGCAAAGATTTTTGCAAGCTTGATTTTAATTTTATGCATAATTATTTATCTCCAAGCTTGCGAGCTGGCGGAATCCTCCAAAACCTGCAATCTGATTGGTTCCGAGAGCGGGCGGTATTTTACGATCTTGTCCAGGGCGGATAAAAGTTGGGCGGTGAAACGAGCGCTCCGCTCTTCATTTAATGTGTGTTGCGGAGTAGGACTGGCACGAGCGCTCTTTCCGCGCTTCCGGTGCGCTTGAAGGCCGGCGAAATTTTCCTTTTTGCAAACCGGAAATTCTATTTTCTTTCTGTAATTTCAGGCTACAATGTTAAATAGATAAATTCGATTCATAACAATATCAATAAACAGTTTCATATGTTTGTGTCTGTATGCCTATAAGTCAAACTTGTTGGTCGTATAATGCCAAAATTTGAGTTTAATTTGAAAGTGTTGAATACCTCCTCCTTCCATATAAATAAATAATTATTTAGAGGTAGCACATCCACAAAGTGGTTCTTCGTCTACCTGATTCCTGGTCGAATTAGAATTTGGAAATGTTGATTTTTGAGGAGACGGGAAAACCGGAGTGCCCGGAGAAAAACCTCTCGGAGAAAAGGAGAGAACCAACAACAAACTCAACCCACATATGGAGTCGAATGAGCTGTCTTTAAAACTACGCAATATACAATCTCTAGAAACTTTTAAGAATTCAATTAAGACATTTTTTTAGACAGGTTTTTGAGCAGTGAATTTTTATACCTTTTTCTAATTTGCAATATATCATTATGAGATTTTAATACTAGTATTTTCAAATAAATTTCTTATGAATTATACTACTAGACGTTTGTTTTTTATCAGTTTTACGCTTAACTATTTTAATATTTCATAGATACTTGAATAACTAAATAAATGTAAAGCGCTTCTGATCTGTATGTGTAAATAGCGCTATAGAAATAATAAATTTTTATTTTCATTAAATTAATAAATCATTGGTCCTGATTAAAAGTCGCGCCAGCTGAAACAAAAAATAATATATAATGCATAAATGTGAAAAGAAAAAAGTCTGTTTCAGGTTGACCTCTACAACTATGACAAATTAATTTATTGACGTTAATCAAATTGTTGATTTTTAAAGAAAATCACCAATTAGATTTCAGTAGTATGTCTCTAGTTTAGAAAATAAATTGTCTGCATGTGTTTGATTTTAGGTCCATTATTACCTGAAACTCTTGACGTAAGAAGAATCCCTTTTACCCAAGCAAGGCAACTTACTGTGTCCTTGACCGGTATGATTAATTAATTAACTGAAATATGAAATAAACGTTTTTCACAGTTCTCACGACATTTTGACCGTGAAACAAGGACTTCTCCTTTGGTTACAAGTGGTTACGATCGAGCCAAGAAAGACGAAGGTGGATTAGTAAGGGAAGGGTCCAGAATTGACGGTCGTGATGCGCATGCGGTGTAGACATGGGTTTAAAACTTCAGCTGCATGTGGTCTAGTGTAGAGTAATGGTTCAAATCAGAGTCCCCGCCGCACAGCACAATTCATACTCTCGGAATATCTAAGTGTAACATTTTTAATCAACGAACACGCTAAGTTGTTGCTAAAACTAATCAATGCCCATTCATGTTGTTTTTGTTTTTGTTGTAGTTGCATCCGAAGATAAGTGGAAGTTTGTTGCTGAGAAACTGGGCTTGAACCAAGACGAAATACGTTTCCTTGATTTGCGACACACAAATCCAGCTGAATCCCTTTTAGGGTTCGTAACAAATCACCGTGATATGAATGTGGGAGAACTTTACAAAATCTTATGCGAATGCGGGATACCCGTTATTGCAGATAACCTTTAAACTGTTTTATTTTAGAAAGGGGAATGACAGCCACAGCTTTTGTTTTGCATGTGTATGGGCCTACTTGCAGGCAGGATTTGAAGTACAGGTAACATCTATATGCTATCCATACGACAATGCCATTTGTCAGTTGTCAGTTAATTGACCGGTAGAGGGATCGGTGTAGAGGTGTGCCGCCGAAGCCTTCAAACCCTGACCCTGTTTAAGACAAAAATCGTTCATTTCTCTACCTGCATGTTTAAGACGAGATCTTATTTATTTCGTTTCGTATACAGTATTAAGTCATTTTTAAAACTAACATCATTCACCTCACCCCGTAAAACCAGCTCGATTATGGAAACCGTGAGCTCAACGATTATATAATGGAGGGAGCATGCGGCGCAATTTGTCCACTACCTGACCTATAGCTGAAGATGATCCGTTGGGCCATATATTAGCCAAAAAAAAGGGTACATTTGGAGATATTAATTTTATTTAATATACTTTTTCAATTCTATGGAATGACGTTTTTTATCTTTAAACTCCTGAAAACAAATTTCCTCACCTGGAGTAATTTATCGTAGAGGCTTAACCCAATTTATGTTATGAGGTTACGCGACATTTTAGTCATACTAAATTAATCAAGGAACGTGAAGGGTCGGTCTGTGATCAACGTGATCAGCCTATTTTCTGTCACCGTAAGAGACGGACCATTAGAAAAGTTATTGGGGGGCTGGAGGGGAATCTTCGAGCCGCAGGAATTTTTTTTCGTTATCAAATTCCTTGTATGAATTTTTTTTAGGCCATAGCATGATTATTTTTTAGGATTAATTGGCGTGCAAGAATTTGTTTTCATTTAATTTTCCTTTGCGCGAATATTTTTTTTTTTCTTCGCCCCCCCCCCCCCCCCCCCCCCCCCTCTTTTTTTTTTTGTGCCCTTCATGTAGGGGGAGGGGAAATAATATTTATTTTTTTTTTTTTCATTATAAGAATATATTTAACCACCGCATCACTTTGATAAACATCTAAACACATAAGCACTAAACGAAGAGGTACACATTATTATACAAAACA